TTTGGGATACAGTTTTTAACTCTTACTCTTAAACTAAGTAGATAGAATCTGAAGTTTTGATGCTGGAGGGTGGAGTGTTTCTAGGTTTAACAACACATTTATAATTAAACAAAGTTGTAAGAAGACATAATTTTACATTCTCTCCCACCCCCCACCCCCCCAAAAAATAAAAAATAAAAAATTCTGTTAATCCCTCATCTACCCCTACTTTGTCTCTCCTAAACCAATCTAATAACCAACTAACACTCACTGGTTGACAACCAACTTGCCTTCCGGCCACCACCTGCAAGGTCGTCAAAAGACAATGACCCCCATCGGCGTGCAACACCGACGAGTTGATAGCTATCTAGAAAAGAGAAAGGCATGAGGGATGGGAAAGGATGAAGGCAGGGGGCGGTTTTGCGAGGTGAATCTATGATTCTACCAAAGGGAGCACCGGAGGTAGACCTCCAAACTCACTGGTTAAGAAGCCAACGCTCCTAGTGGCACGATGGCAATTATGCAGCAACTCCAGTGTAGGCTACAATACTGCTAACAGAGAGAGATCTAGTCCAAAGCTTGCTAATGGAACTCATTCCCTTGAATTGCCACCATTACTGCTCCCATGGGCGTCATCACCTTTATCATCACTGTCTATCATTCCTATGCCTCCATCGAACACAGACAAAGAATTGTTGGGGAGGGAAACAAGCATCACATAGCAAGGGTATTTTAATTTTTTTAAAACAAAATTCCTTCCCTCACCTACTCCCTGCTTTCTCTCTCCTAAACCAATCCAATAACCAACCAACACCCCATTGGCTAACAACCAACTTGCTGGGTACCACTGCAAGGTTGCTGGATGATGACGACCCCCTATAAATGGCTCTCGGGGCAACAGTGACAAGCCGACAACTATCTAGAGAAGAGGAAGGCAGAAAGGACGGGAAGGAAGGAAGGAAGGCGGCGGGGTTCTGCAAGGTGAAAGGGAGCACTCGGTCTCCAGATCTATGATTTTGCTGAAGGGAGCACCGAAGGTGGATCGCCGAACCCACTGGTTGAAGAAGCCAGTGCTTCTAGTGGCACGATGGTAGCCAAGCGATGACTCTAATGATCGGCTACAATTTTGCTAACAAAGAGATATCTGGTCCCAAGCTTGCCGATAGAAACCTCCTTCCCTTGAATCATCACCATCGCCGCCATTACAGCCTTCCACGAGCGTCGTCATCGTCAATCATTCACAAGTCTCCATAGGATACAGATAGAGAATTGTTGGGGAAGGAAACAAGCATTACACGTTAAGGATATTTCAGTCTTTCTAAAATAAAATATTTTCACAAGAAAATTACATAAACTATATTCCAAACATTTATTTTACTATTTTCAAGAATTTTTTAACTATTTTGCGAAGATACTAACTTTTGATTATAATTTATTTTATTCACTTCTATTTTAAATTTTTATTTCTACTTAAGTAGAAGCATTTGCAAACACCATAGTACATTTTAACTTTAGCTTATCAGTAAATGCTTTCACACACATAGTTTAACCTTGTTTGAGAAATTTGGTAAAATTACTCAATGGATACAGTAACTCACATCAAATCTGAATGTGCATGTGAAATGAAGTCACTCCAACGCAAAACACATGGATCAACATGGCCTTTTTCCCTATCATTGTGGCCATATATTCTTTCACTGCACCTATTATAGGAAACATTAACCCTTTATCCTATCCCACGTGCATGTTTGATTCTAGATCTGCTCACATTGAGCCTAAACTTGGTTAAAATGCTTTATTTGGATTTTCTGGTATTAAAGTTTTTTTATAAGTAAAATATCTGATTTATTTGGAATTTTTGGTACTAAAGTTTTTTCTTATAAGTAAAATGTCTGATTTTTATGATATTTGGTGAAATTAATTTCTCGCCCCGGAAAATTTTAAAATAAACTTTTTATTTTTTCAAACTCATAAGGAATTAATGCTTTATTTGGAAATTTTGATATTAGATTTTTTTTTCTTGATACAAAAAATGTCAGATTGTACGGTGTTTGGCTTATTAGAAATTAATTTCTCACTATATAATACTTCTAAAATAATTTTCTTATTTTTCTGATTTTTTCAAACTCCTCATAATAAAAATTAAAAGAGACTACATTTACATGGAACCAAACATTCGACTATAGTACATTATGGCCCCATATAAATGTATCAAAATCACAAGACTATCAGAAACCAGCTAAATCACATATGTCACCACTTTGTCATATGGGCTAACCAATTTTCAAATATTATGAGATGAGATAACCCAAGGATGTGTCTATTTATTAATACCTTAGTATCACTCCACTTTTGATGATGATGATGATGATGATGGATGATGATTAATATTATTATTATTATTATTATTATTATTATTAATGTCTTTGTTGAAATCGGAATGAATAAATATGAATGTGATGACATTTATTGCTATATATTATTTTTTGGCATATAGTCTTAAACAGACATTAAAAATATTACTTGAAAACAAAAGGTTAAAGAAAAATAAAGGTATAATTTGCTTGGCATTTCCAAGGCAAGTATTTGGGAATGTGTGTTTTTCGAATTTTTTCTTGGGTTTTATTTTTTTTACAATAATGTTATAATATGAAGTTTTTGTTAATTTGATTCGTGAACTTTTCTGATATTTCAGAACGTGAAATATTTTGATTATTTTTTTATTAAAGGTTCTAAATACTTATTGTTTTTACTTAAAAAATTTACAGCACAAAATAAATATGTATATGTATCTAATTTATTTAAAAAAAACTATATAAAACTTAGAAAACCTCTGGGAATCTCTTGATATATCACAAAAGAGGTTTCAGCGTGAATCTTTCGAAATGGGCTAAAGCATTTAACTTATATATATTATATATATATATATATATAACAAGCTTATCTTAACTTTTTTTTTTAAAGTAATTTGAGTGATTCAATTGTCTCTCATCTGTTATCAAAGATTATTTGAACCAGGATCAAACCTTCATTTCATACTCCAACGTCGCACATGTAGAGTTTGCCATCCAAAAGGCATGTTTGTTTAGTGTGTCAGGGTTGGCCAATCCATAAGGCATGTTTGTTTGGTCTGTAAGCGGTTAGACAGGCCCCACCCACATTTGAATTTTGCCCTTGCCACTCCGGTGGGTAAGGAGTTGTTAGAAATGTATAAACAGAAGGCTTGAGGTGTGAGAACACTGTTTCAAAAGATTATTTGTCTGATCTTGAGGAGAAGAAGAAAACAAAGATTTTTAAAATACAACAAGCCTTGTATGAATTGGTATACTTATAAATCCGAAAAGCCACTTCCAATAGTTGGGTGGTTAGCAAATTGTCAAATTATTTTAAAAATAATTATGCCATTTTTTTATATTAATTCAAAAAATAAAATAAAATAATTAAAAGGGTATTAGCCCTTTTAAATTAATTTAACCCAAGCCTCAAGTTCAAGCCCTTTAATGTATATATATAAATATACATATATGGGTTATATGGGCCACATACAATTGCTCATTTAATAATCTAATACATTTGTAAAGAGATGGGTCATACTAATAAAATCACTTGACTTCTTCTAATTTTCCAATGTGGGATTCTATTTCCACCACAAAATATCACAAACTACTCAATAGGAGTTACGCCCCTTGGGGTTTAAATTTATTACAACGGTTATGCAAAAAAGGTTAAAATATAAATTAAATTTTTTTAATTTATTAATTTTACCATTTTGTATACTTAAAATAATTAAATTTACTTATTACTTTAAACTCTTATTTTTTAAAAAGTTAAGGAGATCAATATGTTTAAAATCTAAATAAAACTTCATATTAAGTAATACAATAGGACAGACTTTGGTTATAATTTTCAATAAAATTGATCCTGTCTGCCAGGAAACTATTTCTTTGAAATTATAAAATAAATACAAAATGAGAATCAGTAATTATTTAGATTTAAAATAACAAAAACTACAATATGTTTAATTATAAACTAATTATGTTCTTAATTAGGTTTAACTCATTCAATGATTCTAATATTGTTTGCATTAAATTTAAGATAAAAAAAAATAAAATAATTTATATTATTACTTTAAAAGCAATTATTTGACGTACATAGCAAAAGAAAATAACAATAAAAGTTAAAAATAGTTTAAATTGTTAACAAGTTTTTCTAAGTATGATATGCGACAATAAAGATACAGTCCTCTCATATCACTCTACTCCTTGCAAGTATTATTCAAATTAATAAATATAGGAAATGCATTTTAGATAATTTAAATTATAACTTTTTATAGTGAATTATTAAACATTTTTTATAAAAGTTAAAACTAAATTTTTATAAATTCATTAATTTTGAACCAACATTAAATATATTTTTCAAATAAAATATCAAAGAAAAATAACTATTAGCTTGGACACTGACAGACTTCTATTAATTAGCAATATATATCTGCCAACCAGGTTTGATTTATATTTGAGTTTGAAATAAATGAGTTTATAAAAATTAAAATAAATTTAAAAAATCTTATTTTCTAAAAAATTGAAGTCGTTTTATCTAAATCCATGATCAATAATGTCACTGCCGTCGTTTATCAATTTCATCACGTGTTTTCCACGTGTTTGCTTTTATTTCCACCCCCGCGTCGAGCTTGTTCCCATTTCATCGTCCTTTGGCTCATGACGTGTGCAGCAAACACGTAGGAAGTACAATAACGGCCATCTCATCTACGGCCTTTGCATACACGGCGCAGGCTGTTACATGATCAAACGTGTCATCCTCTCTCTCTCCCCCCCCCCCACCCCCCCCCCCCCTCCCCCCCCCCGCGCTTCCTGAAAGCATATAAAGGGCACGCCAACGAGTGGCAACTTGCCATGTTAACACAAAAGCTCTCTCTCTCTCTCTCTACACACAGCCAAAAAATTTCCTCGTAACCCAGAAGCCCTAAGCCCCTTCTTTCTTCTTCTGATCCCAAACGTTGCAAAATGAACTTCAAAGGAAGTGATTCAGTAGCGCACAAGCGAAAGGCAGGAAGAAAGAAGTTCAAAGAGACGCGCCACCCAATTTACAGTGGGGTTCGTATGAAGAGGAAAGATAAATGGGTTAGCGAAGTCCGGGACCCCAACAACAAGAAGTCAAGGATATGGTTGGGCACCTTTTCCACCCCTGAAATGGCTGCTAGGGCTTATGACACCGCTGCCCTATCCCTCGCGGTCCAACAGCGAAGCTCAATTCCCCGACAGTGCTCATGCCCTTCCGCGAGCTAAGTCGTCGTCGGCTAGGGATATTCAGCTGGCGGCTGTTCAAGCTGCTAGGGTTTTTCACCCCGCCTCACCCTCTTCCTCATCATCTACTAAATCCCCAAGTTCTCATCCAAAGTGGAAAGGAAGCCTTTCGGAAGGAGAGGTGAGTGAATTGGAGGGTTCAGATCAGAAGGTAGTGTATATCGATGAGGAGGAACTGTTTAACATGCCGGGTTTACTTGATAGCATGGCGGAGGGATTGCTACTTTCACCTCCGGGGCTGGAAGAAATCACATCTGCAACTTGGGATGAAATGGCTACTTACGACATGGACATGGCTTTATGGACCCTTTAACCTAATTGGATTTTTTATGTCATAAATTTGCTGGAGAAATATGAAAATTTCGTATCTACTTTAGAATAAGTTTTTGCAGTTTTTTCTTGTTAAATCCAAGTTTTCGTAGCCTGGAGGCATGAGATGTAAATGAATGCTTCAAATAATAGGGTGTGAGCATGAACGCTATAAGAGTTGAGTTCTTGTGAGAAGAGTTCTTAGACTTTTACCCTTTCCCAAAAATAGAATCGGGCTATTGTCTCTTCTCTCTGTCTTTCCTTATCTCTTCTTTTTTCCTTTTTCAGGCTAAGCAAGTTGCCCGGCGTGTCATATGTTCATCGTGACAATGGATAAATAATACTAGTGGGGCACAGAAATAACGACTTCCCTTTTTCCACGTAGACCTTGAAGCCATCACTTATTTGCCACTCAAGGATGTTCGGCAAATTTAAATTTATGAGATTTTAAATTTTGATTTGCTTATATTAAAATTTTTTCAATTTCATAAGTTAATTTAAAAACCCAACGAATTTTATTTTGTAATTTATTTTATAAGTTGATTTAAGAATTTAAAAATTTATTTAGTACCCAAATATATAAATAATTTTGAACTTGTTGCTTTTTTTTTGACTAAATTTTATTTTTTAATATTGAAATTATAGCATCTTTGAAGCTATAAAAATTTTAAAAACATACGTTTTAGTAATCAAGAATGAAGCTGTGCTTATAGTAGACGAGTTGCCGTGAGCAGTAGAATTCCAACATGAATAAAATTTTAGGAAAATTATTAAGGGAGATAGTCTAGTAAAAATAATGATTCGAACAGTAAACATATAAAATATTATTATTAGAGGTTAGAAAGAAAAAAAATTTTAGTTAACAATGTTTATATTTCCAAAATATTATTACTATAACTATTATAAGTAAAATTTTAAATAATAATAAGTATTAATTTGTATAATTATAAGTATATATCTATATAATTATTTTACGATTTCTAATTATAAGATACATACTTATAATTATACATATTTATTCTTGTAACTACACAGATTTGTTCTTGTAATTATACAGATTTAGACTTATAATAGATGTAATACTAGAAGTATTTTAGAAATATAAATGTTCTTAATTCATAATTTTTTTCTTTCTAATTTTGAATATAAATATTTTATATTTTAACTCCCCAAGTAATTAAAATTACTAGGCCATATTGATTGGTCATTTTCTATAAAATTTTATAGTAAGTTGTATATGGAAAAAATTAAAGAGCTAAAAATAAAAGTTTTAGAATTTTGGAATTTTTTTGAATTTAAATTGATGTTAATATCTCATAAATTTAATACAGCAATTAAGTTAATAAAATCCATACTATCAAATGTCCCCTTAGCTAAATCATGTATAGAAATATTGGGCTTTATTCTATTTAGCGTTTTAGCCTCATTTTTGAAGAAGAAATGAGGGGGAAAAAAAAGGAAAGGAAGAAAGAAAGAAGTTAGAACAATATCTTTATTGAAATTATGATAAATTGCACTGTTAGTTCCTTTAGTTTATTGGTTTTATCACTTCAACTCCTACGCTTTTAATTTACTCAACCTTTTATCCTGTTACTTAAAAAAGGTTGAAATCTCATCCTTGCATCCAATTTCAACACAGATCCACTTTCAAAGGCTCAAAAGACCAGCATAAGGACTATATAAAATCCGCCACTTTACATGTATACTATGCATCAACGCTAAACAATTACTAAATTTTTGTTTTCCTTTGTCCTATATTTTACCGCATAGGGCATAACAATGTATTCAATAACTTGAGACACCAACATAATTTCTTGGCACATAAACAGGATGGTGTTTGGCCCGTAAGGCATAGAGCTTCTTTTTATTTATGTTTTGCTAAAAAATATTATATTATTACCATTTCACCCAATAAATAATGTATTTCCAGGATGTTGTGTACAGGAAGAAGGAATAATTTAGTAAGCTTTGGGTGGATTTTCTGATGGCTGGGTTTATTATATATTGTTGGGTCTGATTTAGTTTTACATAAAGGGTAATTCTCTAAGGCTCTTAAGTTGGGAGATTTTTTGTTCTTCAAGGTCCTTGAAGATGCCATTGCAGAGCTATCTCTGGTCTATGAATGAAATTTCAATTCCTTTTCTTCAGGAAAAAAAAAAAGAAAAGAAAAGAAATTTGACATCTAACACAGCCTGTTATCTGCTATATATTCCCTTTGTGAGATCAACAAATTTTTCAGCAATACCACCAAATAAATGAATAAATAAATCTGCTACCAAAAAGTGAAACTCTGAATTCTAATAACCACCATTAGTTATATAAATCTACAAGTATACTTCAGTACAAGGAAACTTAGATTGGCCATATACAAATAACTTTGATATAGGTATGTAACAGCCCAAAAGACCTCCCATATATAGTTCATGAGAGTTGATTGAAAATTTCCTAGTTATAAGATTCTAAACTTTTATGCTTTAATTCTTAATAAATTAAATTAGAATTTTTTACAAGTTATTCGGTACCCACCTTTTAAGTAAATTTAAAAGTTTAACTTGCTTAACATCTAAATTTAACTTTACTCCTTCAAAATTTTTCATCCTAAATTTTCTTTTAACTTTCTCTTTTCTATTTTTTTCTCTAAAGTTCCTCTAATTTTTTGATTATTTCTCTATAATTTTTCAGCTTTCTCTCTTTAACTTTTTTCAATTTTCTCCCCCTAAATTCTTTAAACTCTCTCTCTAATTTTTTTGAATTTTTTCTGTCTATAATCTTTAAACTTCCTATCTCTCTAAATGTTTTCCAGATAAATCTTTTCAACTTTCACTTTCTAACATTTTCTCTTAAAATTTTTTCACTTTTTTCACTCTAAAATTTTTTCTCCATAAAAATGAATGGGATTTTTATAATAATAAGTTGTAAGTCAAAGGGTTATGAATTAGGCTTTTAAGATTTTAATATATTTTAAGATTTTATACTTATCTTGAAACTATGTCAAGTCGATTGTAACCAATAAATTCAAAAAATTAAAAAAATATACTACCAATTACCTTCTTAAATATTTATACTTGATATGAGCACCTATTTAATTTTTAAAGCCTACACGACCCTCTTAACAATTAAACTTCTATCATGAATCTCATATTGGATGTGGAAAAGGGGATGAATAGGTTATAAGTGGAGGTACTGTATATCTTAATAGGTATATTTTCTGACAATATGATAATGTACCAGTGGCAATTAATATCTTAATAGGCATCAAGGATTGAAGTAGAGCTCTATGTCATAAATCCCGTATCGGATGTAGAAAAGATGGATGATTGGGTGATAAGTCATGTCATGGCCTGGAAAGTCGAATCCATAACCGCCACTAAGATTAGGATAAGATCCAACCTCGAAAGTCTTTCATATGTAAAAGCTATTATTTCATTGGAAACTATTAATGCCAAATATAAACAAAGTCTAAAATAAAAACATAAGTCTCAAACCATGTCTTTACATCAAACACTTATTTGTGATCAATAGAATTACTATGAACAACTAATAGTATTAAACTGAAAAGGAATGAGAACTAACTACTAAGATTAGAAATCATGTTGGCAGAACTACGGACTCCTCTTATACTGTAGGATCTGTCGGTAAAGTCAAACATAAGTCTAGAAAATAAAAGAATGAGTTTACCAATCTAATAAATAATAATACGTACTTACACGATAAGGACATATATCAAATACTTTTATTATAAATTAGGATTTATTTCTACTTATACAAACTTAGGGAGTTTCGTAATAGAGAACTGAACAAATACACATATAACAGAGTGACGACATCTTAGTTTGCCGATACACACATAACAAGCCTTTCCACGTAGTAGTCTAACATCACCCCTACTATCTGAGAATACAAGTTAAGGTGCACCGAGTCTAATGCATATTATTATTAATTACAGTGTCCTAACCGTTCGATACTCCCATAAAATAATTTTTCAGAGTTTAACAGAGACAGTTCCAATTTGTCCAATCATAACATTAACAAAAATTAGTTTATAGAATTTCAATGTTTTTAAACACATCAGTAATGAAAATCAATAGTTCAGTAATTTCCAAACAAATCAAAAAATGCCATATATGTCCCTTGTGAGCTTTTATAGTATATTAAATTTTAATTTCGAAATAACTGAATTTTATAAACAGTTCATGTAAAACTCAACATTTATCAAATATAGAAAACAACAATCTATAAATATGTATTACTACTCATAATATTGAAGAATTACGAACTCTGAATGTCATCAATAAGGCTCATTGAGAGTCGAACATATGATTTTAGAAATAATCAAAATTCTTATTTTACAATATAATATGTCTCAAAATTAATTTAATACTAAATTCCCCTCCAAAACCTAAATATATCCTTAGGTTTTCATATTCAAACTCACATAGAAAATTTTAAAGTTTTGAACCAATCAAATAAACCATATCTCACGTACTAAAATCTTGTACCAGGCCTATAAAATAATAAACTGATCTAATTATCTTTTAAACCAACCATTAAAATATTAAACCAGTTTTCAACCAAATCTTAATAGTCTGTCAGTCAAAATATTACTAAACTGGACCTTTAAACTCACTAAATTAGCTATGAAACCTATTGAATTGGCCAATAAAATTTTACAGTTTAAAATTAATTTTATTTAAAATATTATAATTCTATTTTTCAAAGAAATACTTTCACGAAATCAAACTTAATTCATCTTTATAAATATAAAGTGTCTTAAGATGCCTATAAAATTAATTTGTATTTAATTTTATACATTGATATATGTGTGTGTGTGTGTGTGTGTACATAAATTAAAATTATTTGAACGTTGCTATCACTTATAGGGTTTACAAATCATAATTTTGGTTTGATTTTTGATATTTTAGTTTATTTTTTGGTTTTAATACTTTTAAAACTAAACCAAACCAATTTAATTATAAACCAAATCAAACCAAACCTAAAAGTTTG